AATAATCCAAGAGAATATTGGAAGCTAGTAAAAAAACGACTTAGATTCGGTCGATGTCAACATTCCACTATTATAGGTGAGTAGAGTAATATCAAAATTTACGGAAGCATATTAGGGCCATTCATTTTTTTTTTTTTTTTTTTTTTGAATTTTAAGTTATTATGTTGAATTTTCAAGTTAGTAACTCGAATTTTCAAGTTACTAACTTGAAAATTCAACATACTAACTTGAAAATTCAACATACTAACTTGAAAATTAAAAAAAAAAAATGAATGGCCCTAATACGCTTCCGTAAAATTAGACAATAAAATCGATAAAAAAATTGAAAGTTTGAATTCCAAAGTAATGCCAAATATGAAATTAAATAAAGAAATAAGTTATCAAGAAATACAAACAGCCCTTAAATGCCTGAGGAAGAACAAATCACCCGGTCCAGATACAATTTTAAATGAAATGCTGATGAGTTCTATAGATACTATGAAAGATCACCATCACTAATTATCCAGTTTGATCCTGACAACTGGTATATTTCCGTCATCATGGTCAGAATCTCTGTCATACCCATTTACAAAAAAGGTCCAAAAAATGACACAAATAATTATAGTTGTATTGCTTTAAGCAGTTGTTTATCAAAGGTACTCTTATTAATAATAAATAAAAGAATAACGTACTATTTGGAACTAAATGACATGATCGATACAGCCCAGCCCAACCGTTGACAATATTTTTATTCTAAAAACAATTATTAATAAATAAAAAAGTAAAAAACAGCCCCTTAACATATTTTTCATTGACTTCTCTAAAGCGTTTGACAATGTGTGGAGGAAAGGACTTATATAATTATAAACTTTTAAAACACGATATATCTGGAAATATTTTAGACTTGATGTCCTCTATCTATTCTAAAAACAAATCTGGAGTAACGGATTATATCGACTCCATTGCAGGTGTTAAACAGGGTTGTGTTTTTAAGCCCAAATCTATTCAATGTATACATCAACGATCTCCAAAAGTATTTCAGAAAATCAAATGCCAACTTTCCTCTTTTAGATCATTCACCTATATCTCATTTATCCTTTGCTGATGACCTTATTTTATTCTCCCGAACACCAACTGGACTTCAAAACTCAATAAACTTGAAAATGTTTGCACAGACTGGAAGTTAAAACCTTAATCTAGATAAATCCAAAATTATGATTTTCAATTCTGTTAAAAGATCACGGGTCAGTTTTTCTTTCCACAGTAATTCAATCGAAATAGTCTCCTTTTATACTTATTTAGGCCTTTGTATATCGAACAACTTGACTTTTAAATCCGCTATAATCGAGTAAAAAAGCTAGGCGAGCTCTACTCTTTTAAAACTATATCACAGCAAACAAATAGCACTGTATGCACCTGATGTTTGGGGTAATAGTAAAAAGATCATGTTTAACAATTGGAACAAATAAGAACACAATACAATCGCTACACGTACAGTAAGTGTACCTAAAAAGGCCTCAAACATTGGATGTCTATCAGAATTATCAATATTTCCCTTACAATTAGATATTTACCATAGAATGATTATGTATTTGAAAAGATTTCTTGATAACCCCACTCTCCAAAATAATCCCTTATTAAATGCAGCTTTTAATGAGGATTTGGCTTCAAGTCAACAAAATTTTTCTTGGACAAATGCTGTCTTCATCCTCCTTAATAACATTAACCCCATAAATCTCTCACCTAAACAAATTAAGCTCTCATTGCAAAATTCTTTTCATTCCTTAATTTATCATGACTCGATCCACA